TCATATTCTGCTTCTTCTTTTTTTTTTTTTTAATGAATATTGTTGGGTCGGGGGTGGGGGGATGGGGGTGTTATGCCTTTAATAATGTAGTAGTGGTGAAGAGATGACAAAATGTAAGGGAGAGAGCTAGCAAAGACCGCTGGTTGAAATTAAACTGGAGATGTTGGTCCGTGGTCAGCATCTTAAGTCTTAAACCATAAAAGTGCTACATCTTTGTCTCTTCTCATAGTATAATAGTGATGTATGGCTCCTGTACTGCTGACACAAAATAACTATCATTTCAAATGTATTACCCTGGCCTGTGATAAATTTAAATACTACTGTTCACTATAAAATCTATGAGTTGTAAACACAACCAGAGGATTAACTGAAAATTACTATTGTTTGTTGTGTCCCTAATTGGTCTAAGTTCAAAGAATAATTAAAAAGTAATTATTTGTAATGTTTTATTTTTCCATAAGGCTGGACTCTACCGTCTGTCTGGTGCTGACCGCACAGTGAAGGAGCTGAAAGAGAAGTTTCTCCGCAGCAAAACTGTTCCTGTGCTCAGCAAGGTGGACGACATCCACGCCATCACTGGCCTCCTCAAAGACTTCCTGAGGAACCTCAAGGAGCCTCTTCTCACCTTCCGCCTCAACCGTCCCTTCATGGACGCAGCCGGTGTGTGTTTGTGTCTGTGTGTGTTCAGTGTAATGTGCAGAGCGCCACAGCAAAAGTAACAGCACATTAATAAAATAAATTTATAGCAGACCTTGAAATAACTGCATTGTAACTTCCTAATAGAGACCAGAAATGTACCCAACACAGCCATTAAAGGCAGGTTTCATAAGTGCCACTGCTTTGTTTTTGCAATGTGTTCTGAGCAGTGATTAAAACCTCTAGTAGGAAGTTGCCTGAAACCAAAAAAGAGATTGATCTTTTAGCCTGTTGGCCTTTTTTTTTTTTTAGTCTTTGTTACTGGAGTCAGGTACACTTTATTTCAAGGTGCTTATAAACACACACATCCTATTTCTCAGGCTGTGCTGACAGAAGTGTTTTCTTTATTCCCCCGCAGAGGTTTCAGATGACGATAACAGCATAGCTCTGATGTACCAAACCATTGGTGACCTGCCACAGCCCAACAGAGACACGCTGGCTTTCTTAGTCCTTCACCTTCAGAGGTTAGCACGTACAATCTTCTAGTTATATTGGCTATATACCTATTTGATCTTTGATGCCTTGCATATTCGTACTTCAAATTCTCTGAAGGGATTTGCTGATACACACAGAATGTTCTATTCTCTCTGTAACTGAACTTTTTGTCTGAATTTAATTGGGAAAAATTGCTTTAGGCAAAAGTGTGCTAAGAATTTTGTAATCAGCCTAATTATATCTGATTTCCAGATTTGTAGACAGGGAAACAATTGATTTGATATTCAGCTATCAGTCTCTACCTTAAAATATACCTCAGATTGTCTGTGTTTGAGTTCATATACATCAGATGCACATAATTGAATCCAATAAAATCTTTCAGAGTCGCTGACAGTTTGGACACTAAGATGGACATCAATAACCTGGCCCGTGTTTTTGGTCCAACTATTGTGGGTCATGCAGTTCCCAACCCAGAGCCCATGACAATCCTACAGGACACCAAACGACAGCCTAAGGTAGGCCTGAACAATTTGTCATGGCTCTTGTGCATACAGGTCCTAATACTCTGTTGGCAGAAAACACTGGTTGAGCAGCTACTTCATCAGAAATACTAAAGAGGAGAAACTGTATATCTGGAATTGTTATCTTAGGAGTTAAAGGTGTGCCGCACGTAAAACCTACTTGTTCCTGCAATATTTACAACTGATCCACTAACAGAAAAATGACCAAAATACTCATGTCTATGACAATACAGTTGGCTCATTTGGACGTCTGTATTCTGCAGGCATCAGCAAATAAAATGGAATTGCTCTGGGGTAGTCACATTTTTCTGCAACTGTGCTATACATTTCATTCTCTGTGATTACTTGACAATAAAAGCCCTCTCTCTGTGCTTTGCCAGTTGAATATTTTAAGTGTGAAATAACTAATTAACTAATGAAAACATTGAGGCTGATATTTGTAGAATAAAATTACACAGTAACGCAGTTTTCCTGCGAATCCCTCATGTGGGTGTTTAATCCAGCACAGGAATGGCAGACATCTGCCACCAGAAGGTAAAACTATTACGTAGAGAGAATTGCATAATCTAAGTAATGTAAATATTGGCTATTGGTGAAAAAAAATGCAACTCATAAATACATTTTAAGCTGCCTTAGATTCAATTAAATGGCAGGGATTATGAATGTAATTTTGTTTTATCACACAATAAGACAAAGCGTGAAAAGTAGGTGTTAATATGTAGAAATGTATTAAGGAATTATTTTTCCCAAATTCTGACACATTTTTGTGAACAGATCAGAAGCACAATGTCGAGCAGCAAATGTATTCAAATTGTGTAAATAAGCGTAATCTGAGACACTGAATCCCACAACAGTTAAAGGCCACCAAAAATCTCTTTACTGTGTCATTTTACACGGCAGTAAATCATCATAATGCCATCTTCTGTTTTTAAGTAATCCCCCTCTGTGTTGCTCAAGGCGAACCTAACCAGCGTAGCACTGGTGGAAGAAGATGAGGCAATACGCTGAAACAACTCTGATCTTTTTGCATTTTTTCTAATCCCTCTGTGTTCAGGTTGTGGAGCGTCTGCTGGCTCTGCCGGTGGATTACTGGGGACAGTTTGTGATGGCGGAGAACGAGCAGCCCAACTTGAACCATTTGATCATCGAGAACGCAAACTGCTATGCCACCCCAGAGAGAGGTACGGCCTCTCTAAACTGTCTTTGTTGTGGCTGCAGTGTTTCTATGTATGCGTATGAGCACATTTGTTCACTGCCTGACATTTCACAGGAGCCCGAGATCGTAATGTTGACTGTTTTGTAATTTTGCAGCGAGCATGCTGGGACCTCTGACCACTCCAGAGCACCAGCTCAATAAAACTCCCTCCTCCAGCTCCCTATCTCAGCGCATGAAGTCCACTCTGACCCCCAGGTAAACACACACAAGCACAGCCCCCCCTCCTGCACAGCGTTAGCATTGTTTTTATAATCAGTCATTGAATGGAGAAGGCAAAGAAAGCTGTAATGCGTTTTATTTTCCTCAAATGCTGGCTCCTTTGAACATTTTTCATAGGACTTAATCTCCTGTGCAATATCCCATTATCCTTCATTGACTCTGTTTTACTGACTGCGACTCCTAATTAATAATTTCATTATGTGCTCTGGTTGTTGCAGATTTGGGAGCAAAAGCAAATCAGCGGTCGGATTTTCTCGCCAAGGAAAGTTCTTTTCTTCACCGCTCCTCAAATAGTACAAAGCAGCTACACTTAATCCTTCAATAACAACCCAAACATTTTTGCATTTATGCATAGCATTTGATAATAGCTATGAATGCTTCCATTTTAGTCTTTATACTTAATAATATTTTACAATGGTAAGAGCTGCATTTTGATGATTTTGCATGTTTGTAAAATGGTATGTTTTTTAACCAAATAGTAACTTTTTCTGTCTATGCACACGTGTCTTTAGAACCTTTGCTTTTACTAAATGCTTAACTTGTCATTCTCATTTCAGATCATGAGAATGTACTTTATATTCACTCGTTTTGAGAAGTGTGCTTATAGATGAAAATATGTACTGTATATGCAGTTTTATTTTGACCTGCTTCTGCACGTAATCATTTCTTTTAAGAGTTTTTCAGCTCATGTGTCACTCAGAAGTTGAAGAATCGATTGTTTGGCATTTCACTCTAGGTTGTAATTGAATGTGTGGCTGCTTGTAGCTTTTAGTTTTGATGTTTGTATTTTATTTCTGTTTCTATTTGAGTTGGATTGTCTTGATTCCCCAGTGATTTTGTGATGTAAATGTTTAGAATTGTACAAGCTCCTTAACCTTTCATACTTTAACTTTGAAAGACCACAAAGAAGACCTTTTTCATTGGCAGCATCTTCTCAGTGATCGTCTGCGAGCTTAACCGGTTGTTATCTTTGCGTTGCCAGATTATTTTGCTCCTCCCATGATAATTGCTCTGTGTATTGTTTGTACTGTAGGAAGTTGCTTATGAGCACTCCCATGCAAAAGGCAGTTACTTTGTAATATCAGCCAGTTCAGTTTCCGTGGCATTATTCCATTAACTATTAGCACAATTTTTGTACACAAATACTCTCTCTGAAATTCATGTAACTTATAAAATACATTTCTAACATTTACAAAAGTGTCTCCTGTCCTGTCTGTGAAATGCTTCATGAGGTTTTACTTCCTGAATCTTAATGCTCAGTCTTGATACTCTTTGACCTCAGAACTGCATTAATTTATGAGCAGTAATCTAAAAAATCAACTCTGTTGTAAAACTGCCAAGTCAAAGGCAACTGGACTTGCTTTAGATTCTTTAAGGGGGTTTGCAGTTCTCACAGGTGAGTCCCAAGTATTAATGCCACTTTCACATGTGGGATAGATAATGGAGATGGGATGTTCATGACAGGTGTGTTTACATGAAGATGATTGTATGCACTGGCAATAACCATTAATATGATTTCAACTATATGAAACAATAGTTTTACTGATAGATCATTCCATAAAAAATAAACCAAATCTAATAAAAGATAAGCTAACTTTTTTTCATACAATAACTATTTGTATATTTAATGAAACCATACAAACCTTTACCTTCATACTATGAATATCTTGCAAGTTATTGGTCTCTGAAGGAGACCTAAGGACAGCATTGTAATCATTGGTGTTCACAGCCTCCTCTGGTGAGTGATGATTTTTACAGTTGGAAATCAACAGCCTCCCTCACTCCTCTTTAAAACCACCCATTTGAGGCTCATTCACACACTGACTCATCATTCAGACAACTCCTGGACTAAATGTAGAAACTGAAGGGTGAGGTGGCTCTACAGTCCTGACAAAAAATGACTTGCTTAGCTCTTAATCATGAGACACCACACAAAGTTTATGTATAAAGATCTGGTGTGAAAAAGTCAAACAATTTTACAGAATAACGATAAAGTGACAGTAAAAGTACATTGCAACCCATTTCAAAAAGTTTTGCTCAGAACACTCAACGACTTGAAAATGTGTAGCGTCTTCAGTTTTGAGGCAATTCATGTTCAAGCATTATAACAAACAAGTAACATCAAAATTTAGGCCATGGCCAGAGAAGAGGAGTGTTCTTGATGTATTCTTGGAAGGCTGGCTCAGATCCCCACTTCTTCATGGCCTGCTTCTCCAGGATGGGGATGCCGCTGACGAATCGCAGCAGGAACCAGACGAACAGAGGTGACACCACGCTCAGGTACTGTGGACCCTCCATCACCGATGAGGCTGAGAGCCAGAGACCCGACCACTGCAGGATCTCTCCAAAATAGTTTGGATGTCTGCTGTAGGCCCACAGTCCACTCTGTATGAACTTCCCCTGGAGGCGCACAAGTAAATTGGGCAGTCAGTGAAAGAGGCATTAATGCAGTTTGAGGTTGCACAACATGAGGTCTCTTAACTTACAGCGTTTTCTGGGTCACGCTTGAAAAGCCATTTCTGCTGGTCAGCAATAGCCTCAGCAGCGAAGCCGAGGCCCCAAACAGACCAGCCAATGTAGTCCCTCGTTCCCAAAGGCACATCTCGCCTCTCACTATTCAACATGAGGGTTGGCAGGAGGGTCATAAATATCCACACGGCTGAGAGAAACAAGAAGAAAAAAAATCATTTCCAGTGAGCCTTGGCTTAATCCTGCCATGAAATAAATACACTTAACTTAGAGTAACCTAGAATAAATGCATATAAGTAGCCGGAAACTAGACAGTGATTTATGCGGGGCAACCCTGCTTTGGGTTGGGTGTTGAGTGGGTCAAGGACTACGGTAACTAGAAGGAGACGTTTACACCCTAGTACCTTGAATAGTCCAATACACAAAGAAAGTCCCTGGGCTGTCTCTGACATTGTTGAACCTGCGATCATGACCGTCCTTCAAGATCCGCATGAAGAGGAATGTCCCCAGCCTGCAGAAAGAACATGGTTAACAACCATTCACATTAACCAAGGCATTATTCATTAACCTGGGTCTGCTGACTTTAAAGGTTCACATTCATCAGCTCCTCCTCTGACCTCGCCAAGAACTCTCCATGACTACAATTACACAATTTCTCAAAATAGATAGAATCTCTTCATGCTTCTGTTGAGTTTTATTAAACTGCAGAGGGGTGTCTGACTCTTGGGGTCAACGCTGCCTTGCTCACCTGAGCCCCCACGCTGTCACCAAACCGGTCTGCACCTTCTGACGGATGTGACTGGCTCCTCCCCACATACGACTCAGGTGCGCAAGTAGTATAAATGTGCCGGAGCCTGGAAAAAGATAGCGAGAGTTGTAAACTCAGTGGTTGGGACGTGGGCATGGCGGGTGGCTCTACTTGTTGCAGACTAAGGCGTGTCCAATAAATCTTTTACCCAGGATACTGCAGACAATTGGTTCCAAAGTTCAAGGGTAAAAATATACAGGAGCCCAGAGCGGAGTGGAGAACCAGAAGAAGACAAGTACAGGACAAGTGCTAAGGTGATTGATTTGAGAAATTTAAAGAACAATTTAATCACTGGTGTCAAGAGGTAAGCTGCAATATTCTGTACTTAGGACTTGATACACCTTGTGCTGACGGACTTGATCAATTTGTAAATGTGTAACTTCCTCGTTGTTCTGACCATTCATTTTATGAGTTGCACGGATGTCCATCATCTAACATAAAATCACAGTCTAACCAGGCAAAATACAACAAAACCAGGACTGCAATAATCATTATTCTCATCGTAAATCAATCAACCAATTATCCTCTAAATTAGCTGATTAATTATTGGAGGTGTAAGATATTACAAAATGATATAAAAATGTTAAATTTTCTAAATCCTGTGTTTGTTTTGTCCAAAACCTAAGTATTGCTTATGGAAAAGAAAAGCAGGAATCAGGCTTGAAACATGTAAAAGATGTTAAGTATTCAAATTAGTTGCAGATACATTTCTCACTTGTCAACGACTGCTAGCTGTCTGAGCCACTAAAGGCACAGAATGTTGTAGCTGTTTAAATCAACACTAAAAGTTGTGCTGCTGTTGTAAATGCTGTTGAAGTCATTTAAGATGGACATTAAGTTGTTTTTACTGCTACAAACGTGAGATCAGATTGCAACAAAAGTACACTTTGACTTGTTAACTTACTGATATACATGACTGGGGGCCGTAAAAGCCCCCTTCTGACCCCGATAAGAGGTTCCTTGGATTGCTCTGTGCGCCCCTGAGCACGCAGGCGCGGATCGAATCTGTGCTTTCAATCTGAAGGAGGAGCTCTCGGGCTGTTTCACAACAAATCCGTTTTGCAAGTTTTGTAATGATGACAATTCAACAATTATATGCGGTGCAAACCCCCACATCTTCTATATAACTTCATACAGGCTGCTTTATCGCTTAAATGTGATTCGCTTCTCTGTCGAGTCCACTTTACGCACGCTAGTTATGCAGAATATCAACCAAAGCTGCAAAACAGGAAAGCGCATGGCTACAAATGTTTACTTCGGATGTATTTTTTCCCTACATTACCTGCTAAATCATAGAACTTCTCGGTCTTGAGAGTGGCAGCCAGAGCCCAGCCGGCCCACTGGATGCCCAGGTCGGTGGCGGCGCATTTAACCAGAGTGCTGCCCATGATCACGTCCGTCAGCTCGGCGAGCAGCTCCACAATGTGCGGGTTTATCATGGGGCCACTCCTCCAACAGCCCCAGAAATATAAACACAAGAGTAAAGTTCACCGCTGTACACTACTACTGGGTTAAGTGGGTTACCGCGAGGTACTCTGGGTATTGTAGTTCTAATAGGATCAGAGCCGCTCCATGGCGCACTGAGAGGCACAGGTGGAAAGTACATTTACTTACCTTTGTGGGATTTACACCTTACTTCAGTGTCTACTTTTAGCCATTGGTGGGAGAAATAATGATCCTGTTACTTAAGTAAAAGCTTAAGCACCAGCTTAAGCAGCAAATGCTGCTTATGATGCTGGGTTACTGTTACTGATGGATGTACAGTGTGTTACTGGCATTTTGTTCCTGTAGTTTGGTAGTGTGGTTTGTTTATTTATTTTTTTACACAGCATAGTATAATCCATTGTAACAGTGTGCCAAATTGTGACAAGCATACTGATCTGAGGCATTCAGTCCATTACAAAGTTTTAAAACGGCAGAAAGACTTAAATTCAAGAGGAGAAACAGCCTCCAAAACATAAATCAGCTCAGCCACCAACTTTGCAGACAAATGAAACATAAAGTTTACTCTGTTAATCGGCTTTAAAACCATTAACTTATCCAGCTATTCGAAACATTTTTAATTATGTTGGAAAATACCAGTCGTTTTGCTTTATTAGCTCATCAGTTTCTTCAATTTTTTAATAAAATTCAGTTTTTGTGTGGAAAATATAGCAAATAAACGTGATGGAGTCAAATGTGCAGCATTTGTCTTAAATGCAGTGCAAGGGTGTGTAAAATACACCAGTGCTGACAGGGTTTCAAAGGTTCTTGTAAATTAGCAGCTTCTCCTGCAAATGTGCTCAGTGAGCTGAATATTTAGAGGTTATTTGGAAATGCTTTACTTTTCCCATTGTTGTGATCTCACTGAATATCATTAGGTGGAACCGTTCTAATAGATGCTTTGAGGGAAATCCACTAAAGACTCATGTTACTGCTGCACTGTACAAGCTAAAAGATAAGAATGCAGTGATTCGGACTGCATATTTATGTAAGAAATCCTGAAAATTCAGCAGTAATAGTATATATAAACATTAAAGTAAGTCTGTAATTTACAGTATGCGTATTATGTACTACATACAGTGCCTATAAAAAGTATGTGTGCCCTCTTGGAAGTTTTTCTCTTTTATTACTTTTCAACAATGAATTGTGGTCAATACATTTTTCCTTTTTGATAAGAATTTACAAAAAAATATCCACCTGAAACTTGGAATTCCTTCAGAGGAGTCATAGGTGTCTTGGTGGTCTCTCTCACTTGTGTCTGTCTTGCATGCTTACTCGGCAGATTTACAGATGAGCCTTTTAGTAATTTTACTTGCATCCTGGTTTGCACTAGCATTTAATATAGTATTACCATATGAGTGTTTGTACTATCACATCATTTTCTGTAATGTTCAATATGTTACTGCTACTTACACTAATACTCCCTTTGTGATTATAGGGATACATAACGAGAATGAGGTTCAGAAATAGTGCTTTTATCAAAGTGTGAATTTAAAGCCAAATACTAGGAAATGAACAAGTTTTGTTGTCCAGATGCAAAAGTCATTTTAGAGGCCAGACAGAGAATAATTTGGAATGTTGTTAGCATTACTAAATATAACCCAAATGTCTAAATTCCCCTCTGGTAAAAATGCATTTGATCCTTACATTCTGCAGGCCTTTACTTGAATACAGATATTCTCCCTCCTTTGTTTCCTCTCAGAAATAAACACAGACGAGATCAAAGATGGCAGAAAGCACAAGTCCAAAAGGCACCTCAGGTGACTTTGCTAAAAAAGTCCAACGACAGCTGAGCAGAAGCAAAGAAAAGGTACACAGTCGGTGACGTCTTGTTTCTTGAACTACAAGAGAAAGAATTAATCGGCATTTTATTGCTGCTGCTTTGAGATTTAGCCTTTGTGGTGCTTTTTTCTGCAGGTATTACAAAGACTGGGAAAGACTGTGGAGACCAGAGATGACCAGTTTGAACATTATCTCCAGATGTTTACTGACCAGCAGGTAGGAATGCTTTACAAAAAATAAAAAGTGACTTGTGTCTTTATTTGGACGATGAAACATTTGACTTTAGCTGACAACTCTCTCTTGCTGTCTCAACATGTTTCACTGCATGTCTAAACGTTGGGTTGATTTATTAATTTAGTTAATCAAATGTCATAAAAGTAATAAATATAAAGATTGACAGTTATGCAAACATTTTGTGTATTTCCAGACTGATGGGAACAGAATATACAAGGACTTGAGGAACTACATCAGTGCAGTCAGAGGTGAGAATGCTCTTTGCTCGTAGGTGCTGCAGAACTGTGAATTTGTGCCCTCTGCAGGTCTCATATAGTCAGTTCTGCCTCTTACAGACATGCGTGAAGCTTCAAGACGCCTGTCCCAGTCATTGTTTGATGTTTATGAAAGCGACTGGGCTGGAGAGGAAGATTTGGGAGCCATCGTGGAGGTCAGCAGTCGCACTGAAACTGCCACAGCATCATTACGGCACATTGATTTTAATTTGTTGCAAAAGCAGCAACATCCATGAATCGCCAGGGATCAAGCCTCCTTATTTCTCCCCCTCTGTTTAAATAATTAATGCAATACTTATGCTGCGTCTTTTAATGAAGGGGGAGGACCTCCTGTGGAATGACTTCGAGGTGAAGCTATTAGACCAGGCTGTTCGCACCATGGAGTCCTACGTGGGCCAATTCCCAGATGTCAGGGTAAGGAAGAGGAGGCGAGCAAACAGAAGAGATTACATACACTAACCAGACAGAAAGGCCTGAGAGCAAACACATAAAACTCAATGCAGACACACACATGTAGTTCACACGCACACATGTTTACACAGAAATCTTCTGTCTGTGCCCTGGAAAAGAGTTCATTAGGAGCTCCAGAGCTACAAATCATTAGATTCATTGAGTTTTCTATGTATAATTTGTTGGATATAAACTTTAATATTTAAATTAATCTGGTAACTTGATATAGTATATAATACTGTAAGGTCTTAACCTTAATATTTAAAATATTTAAATTATTTAAGTAAATTTGTAGAATAAAAAATATTACACTTTAATATTTAAATTTAGTCAGGTAAATCAGAATAATAAATAATATTCTTGGGCATTAACTTCAGTGTTTAAGGTAGGCACATTTGTATAATTAATAATATTGTAGGGTTTTAACCTTAATATTTAAATTGGGGCAGGAGAATTTGTATGATATATAATATTGTAAAGACTTAACCTCAATGTCTGCAGTTTTAAATGTACCACATAAGTAATGGTGACGTCATGCAACTTTTTTTTTTAATTTTTAGGAAAAAGTTGCCAAGAGAGGAAGAAAACTGGTCGACTACGACTCCTCACTTCACCACCTGGAGGCACTGCAGACTGCCAAGAAGAGGGATGATATTAAGATAAAAAAGGTAATTAAAGCAAGCTAAATGTCTTTTTCATTTGTTTGTTGCTTCAAAAATAAACAGCAAAATGAAGTATTTTCTAACGCTCTGCAGGCAGACGACGAGATGAAAACTGCCAAAAGTGTTTATGAGTGGCTCAACAATGAGCTAAAAGGGGAGCTCCCTGCTCTCTATGAAAGGTCTAGTAGAATACCTTTTTTTTTTTTTATCACGGCATGATTTGTTTGAATTAACTATTATTATAATTTTTTTACATGATGTGTCCTTTTCCCCCTACAGCCGTATTGGATGCTATGTGTCCGTCTTCTCAGCTGTGTCAAATTTACGAGAAATCTTCTATAAGGAAATGAACACGGTATGTTGAGCTCTGTCTTGGCAGCAACATTCATTATTATAAAATAGTTTCTTGATCTTTCATCTCCTCTTTCAGCTCAATCTTGATCTACAGAATGTGGTGAAAGAGCTGCAGGCTCAGCATCCAGACAAAGTGTTTTCTGTGAAGGGAATCCAACGGTAAGTTTTCTTTTTTAGGTTTGAAGCCAGTCGGCACTTCAAAGGGATAGTTTTTCCACATCCACCTTTGAAAACTCAAGCTTCACCAAACTCAGCAGGTAGAAAAATACTGTAAATTTTCCTCAATGGTATTGTCTCAGGCTTCTCTCAAAATATTGCAACTCCAAGAAGCATTTTATTGGCTCCACATATGTACTGTGGGTGTTCCCTATTAACAGTGCCTTGGATGCTGAAGTTCTAACAGTACTGAGCAGAGTTGTGCTTATTCAATGAGCTGATGTTTTGCAAAATAAAATATTTCAGGTATGGTTCTCTGAGGAGACGGACTCTGTTGTCCCCTAAGGCCTGGAAAACCAGTTTTTCTGAGTTCCATCGGAGTTACAGCCCTAAAGCTGGACAACGGTCTAGTTTCAAGTCTCCGGAGAAACCTCGCCATAGCACCCTGTCCAGAGAGAGCACCATCACAGTCTCCTCAATGTCACCATCTCTGGATGACCCCATGCCGGAGCTGGAGGCCGGATCAAGCCACAGCGAGAACCAGAGCTCTCATACACAAGAAGACGGAGCAGCGGGGACATCAAAGTCAGGAGAAGAAAGCAGTCAGGTTGAAGAGGAGAAGGGCTTAAAGGAAGATGTGCCAAAGCCTCCTGCAGAATCTGATAATAAAGGAGGTGGTAAAAAAGCTCCACCAAGTGAGAGCAGCTCTGAACTGAACAACTCGTATGATTCAGAAAGCTTGGACCTCCAGCTGTCTGCAGCCGACAACGGCCCGCTGCACATTGAAGAACGAGACGACAGCCCAGCAACCCTTGACACTCCTAAACCAAACGGATTGGAGAATGGTGGTGTTTCAGGGTTTAACTCTGACACTAAGGACCTGAGCGATGCACACAAGGTTTGTCATTTAGTCGGCTCACAGCAGAGGCACAGTGCTGAAGCCTTTCTCTATGTACTTACCATTGCCGTGTTCTCTTAACTCTGGTTTTTTTATTGTATTTTATCTAGGATGCTCCTGCAGAAAAAGAGGCATCCTCGGACGTAAAAAGCACAGTGGTTTAGAGTTTGATAAAAGGTTAGTGCGTCTTTCATGCATACAAGATGCCACATATTATCACTCCTCTGCTTTCATTGTCTGTGGCTTCTGTGTTTGACTTTTCATGAATCTTTAAATGCCAGAACAGAACAGAACAGCACAGCACAGGAGAGACTGAAGTCAACAGCTGCACAAGACGGAAAAAAATGTGGAGGCAGCCAAACTGACGTGTCCAACTGTGGTGTCATGACTGATGTATTGTTGCTCTTAGTTTTCTTATTTATCTTTTATTGAAATCAACTTTGCATCCACTATATGGTGTCTTTGGGTAAAAATATTTTTTGTTATAGCCATGTTAAATCTTAATTGTTCTTTAATATATGAACCCATGCAGTTCATCATAATTTTACCAAGGATATACGTTTTGAAACTAGACTTATATGTCTAATTTTTAACACCCATAAATGCATTATGTAGGTTTACATGCATGAGGAACAGGTGCAGACTAACTACAACATACAGATGTTCAGTGTTGTGGTCTCAGTTTGGAAAGGAACCGAGCTTCACTCCACTCATATGTTGCCACCGACTGAAACTAAAAAGAAGTTTTGATCATTTTCTTTTATTCTCTTTTTTGAAATTTAATATAATTTTATTAACCACATTTAATGGCTAGGATTCAGAAGAGATTTATTTTTTAAGCTTGAATTAAATGTACATACGTTTGATTCTTTGTACTCACAAATCTGTTAATTAGCTGTGCACTTTGAAGATACCTTTGGTAATTCTGAAGCATTTTTAAAACTTGTTCAATCTGTCTCTTAATTTGAATTATTTGATGAATGTACACAGTCGACGCTAAGATATGTAGGAATTATGAAGAAATGTGAACACAATAATTAATAAATGCAGTTAATTGAAAAGTGTGTCAGTAACTGTGGTTGCGTCTCTGCCAATGGAAGTTAAAGATGATGGAAAAACAATGAGAACTCTCTCTCAGAACAGATTTTTAATGCTTTTCAAATGTTTGCAACATGTGCTAATGTGAAGCTGAGAGACGTGACATGCACCTGATAGCATTCTGCATTTAAAAGGATTTATTTGGACCAAATTGCAAAGAGTTAAAAGTTAAATATTGAACCCCTTAGGGGAAATGATTGATTTTGTTCAGATGAATCAGTTGGAAAAAGCTTGACTAACAGAGATTAGTCAGTACCAGAGTGATTATATAATACAATATGTGTTTTTGCTCATGCTTCTTTTATTACAAGAAGGAAAAAAAAAAAACCTTTTGAAACTTGTGTTCAAGAGACCCCAGTATTTCTCCCATGGTTATAGGACTAGTGGCCTCTGCTGCACAGATTTTAACAAAAACGGTTACTCCTAACTCCTGCCTTCATACAGGTTTTTCCTGACTCAGAACGAACCCTTGGGGGTGGTGACTATGAACAGCAGTAAGCATGATCGATGCCTGCACAGTAAAGGCAATGGGTCTATGTCACCTTATTCAACAAAAATCTATGCAGTGTTCTGTTATTTCTGACTGTTTGATAAACAAATGTCTAGAATACTTAAATAAATGAAACCCCAAAAAACAAAGCCGGTGTGTTTTTTTCTTCTTAATTCTTATCATTTTGCTGAAATCTTCCCAAAAATTCCTCTATGCAGGAAAACCAATCTCATATGTATGAAAATGCAACACTGAATTGGTGCTGCATCTCTTCAACATGCAGTTCAAGTTAAAAACAACAGGACCATTTTGAATTTTAAAAAAAAATACCTCAGATAAAAATCAACTGTTTTTCACCTTGAAGATGCTGTCGGCTTGCAGGGTGGGACTTCATTATCATTATTCTTCTTCAGAATTGGTTTCCAGTTCAAACATGGGTGCCTGAATTACTCCAATATTGCAACTTTTCATAATTTTACAGAATCTCAGGTGAACCAGTGTGCGTAAGCTGCAATGAATGGGAAGTGTTGGGTGCAAATCAAGCAGAAACCTCTGAGGCTGCAGTTGCTCAAATGGCCGGCGGGTCAGCTACCATCGACCCCCGTGTTAAAATGTTCACCTTTATAGCAGAAATAAACCTGTTTGCAACCTGGTACACAACATAGTTTTGTTCCCTAGATCTCATTTCCTTCACAGTTTAATTCAATTCAATTCATCCATCCATTATCTATACACCGCTTAGTCCTCACTGGGGTCACGGGGGCCTGGAGCCTATCCCAGCTGATTTAGGGTGACGGCAGGGGACTATCACAGGGCTACACAGAGAGACAGACAACCAAGCACACTCAACATGGTTTTGGATGTTGTGGGACGAAGTTGGAGTGAGAGCCCACACTGCACGGGGAGAACATGCAAACTCCACACAGAAAGACGTCCTCACCGGGACGCGAACCGGCGACCTTCTTGCTGCGAGGCAGCGATGCTAACCATGGAGCCACCTTGCAGCCCTCAATTCAATTCAATTCAATTCAATTTTATTTGTACAACACAGTTTACAACATGTTATCACACAGCGCTAAACAAAGTAAGGTATACACCTTACAAATTTAAACAGAGAACCCAACAATCCAAAGTAGCCTTTAGAACCCCCCCCAGCAGAACCAGGCTCAGCGAAGGTGGCCATCTGCCTCGACCAGTTGGGTGAGATGAGGGGTGGGGAAAACAGGATAGCAGATGGATAGGAAGGGTTTTGTTTACATAGCTCATCTATTTAGATTGTATTAAGGCTAAAAGCTGTGCACACTTTGATTGACAGGCAGGTGCAGTACATGGCCCAGGGATATTTGCATAACCTTCCTTGGCTCTTCTCATGTTGCACCTCTTTGCTCATTTTTTGATTAGCCAGCAGTTACGCTGGTGTTGTGCTTTCAGTTTCTGCATGATGTAAATGTTGTCATCTCCCCAAGTATCTGAAAATCTACATGGACTCCTCTGCACATGTCCAACATTTGTGTCCACACAATGACTACACAACAAGGGCAGTGCTTCACAGCAATGTGTGGAGTACGTAGTTGCAACATCCTGAGCATGTATGCAACAGAGTTTTTCAAATGGATCCCCATGTACTGAAAAAACAGCACAACAGAAACCGCTATTATACTATGCGTTTGTGTTTGTCTGCAGCTGTCTATGTGCACAACCTTACTTTACTATAATCAAGGTTAGGGCCCTGTTAAGATGGCACCAGCCAGAGCCAACACATTGCTTCTAAACCACTCTTCAGGACACCTATGTGTGACATCAAATAAGGTTTGACCATCTCTATGTACAGTCAATATAAAGGAGGGGACTTCACAGATCTGCACATTGATTATTTTTTTTATAGTAAAACTTGTAAATATGTGACTTTAAATACACAAAGAGGAGATTTTAGGAGTTTAATCAGTGACTGAAGTGGGACTTCAGCAAAACCTGATCATCTTAAGAATTATGTTTCTAAAAATATACATAAGTTCAAGTTTATTGTTTATACATAACTTGTTTAAACTAACCTGAGTTGACCAAAGTGCTGTACATGCTATCAGATAGGCCGTAGCAAAAAATATGTGCAATCAGACAGGATAAGACTTGTAATAATAATTTGTAAAGCAATATAAAATAGCATCAAGTAATGAAACAGGCAAAACAAGATCTCAGCTTGTGAGATCATCAGACAGAATAAATATAAAATACTAAAATAATGAGACTATGAAGAGCATCAAAAGCCCTTTGAAAACATAAAGGCCATTTATGAGATTTTCCTGAATAATGTCAGTGTAGGTGGAGCATTTTATTAATCCAGAAAGGCTGTTGCTAAGTTTGCAAAGCCACCATCTCCCATGTTCACCAGCCTGGATCATGGAACAGTTAAAAGCAGCTGTTCTGAGGATCTAAGAGGCCTTGAGGTAGGGAAGGGCAGAGAAGTTCACAACTGTACCAAGGTGCCAAGCCATGCATGGCTATGTAAACAAATAAAAGAACCTTAAAATACATTCTGTATTTAAACTTCCACCAGGATTCCTGGCATGTAGGTTGGCTGTTAATGGATGCTGAAGGTCATTGTTGTGCTGGGGGACCAAACACTATCACATCTGTTTTAATGTCATTTAGCTAAAAACAGTTTAGATAAATTAAATATCTTTAGGTTGTTGGATTGCTGAGGGGGAAAAATAGCAATTTGAATGTGTTTTTAGACTGATTTCTCATTTTTCATAAAACTATTAAGAGATCAGTTTGAGTGATTAATCAGTGATGATTGAATGTGTGTAGTCACTATCAATTGGGCTGTCGCAGTACGAAAATTATTCAATTAAAAAAATATAAAACAAAACAAAAGTACAAAATACAAGTAAAATTGAGAGAAATTTTGGCCACAAATAAATGCTACGAGAAACTAAATTTGAATAATTGATATTTGAATTTCAGTTGCTGAACTTGAATAAATGTGTTTAAAAATAAAATGTATTACACTGAAAATGTATTCCAGTAAACTTAAAACCGAAGGTCATATTTTGAAACTGAACTCAGTTGCTCTGAAACTGTAATGACAGAGAGGGACTTTTATAGATCTGCACACAATTTCTCATCTAGAAATATGTGCCACTAGAAATTGAGTTTCATTAATTTGCATGTAAAATTTTATTGCTTAACTGTAGTAAGTGAAATTAAAAAATGAGTTTGAATCTCATAATTCTAGCATGAATTTCTAACATGAATAATTGTGATAAAAAAAATGGAATTTATGAGATTTAAACTGTATTCCTGCAATACAAATTTCAATTTATTCAATTTAAAACTCTGATTTACAAAACTGCTTTTTACCAAATAAAATTTCAGCCCAATTGAATTCAAATCAGTTTCAAAATTATTGGAATATGATTTCAATCTGATTTTTTTGTTGTTGTTGCAGTTATTCAAATTGAGAAACTCACATTCAAATGATAAGATTCTAATGTTTTTTAATGCAGCTATTCAAGTTGAGCAATTCAAATTAGAATATAAAAGATTCAAATTCAGTTTCTAGTCGCATGCACTGTTGCCAGATATTTTTACCCATAGAGAGCAACCGTGGACTCCTTTTAAAATTTAAGTTTAAAGTTATAAAAAGTTTCAATCTAATAAATTCTATTTTTTAATACAGTTATTCAAGTTGGGGAAATTCAAATTCAGCTGTTGTTTGGAATTGTTAAGACGGAGCTATTGAAATTCAAGTATTAATCATTTCAATTCAGTCTGCAGTGGCACATATTCCTGCTCATAGAAGAGTGTTTTTGTGCAGAATCATATAATTAATTCTCAGTTGATAGAATTTAAGAGTAGCTGAATTCAATTTCAAAGTATTACGTTTGGTTTCCAATTTGTTTGAATGTCGTTTCACTCTGATGAATTCCAGTTTGTATCACTATTGCTTAAGTTGGGTTATTAAGATACATATATAAATGAGTGAATATTAACGTTCTGGTGGTACATATTTCTGCTCATAGGGGAACTCATTTTCTGCTGATATAATTAAAGAATAACTGAATTCAATTTCAAAATATTACTTTTGGTTCCCAGTATGTTTGAATGTGGGTTCAATCTCATGAATTCAAATTCAAATATGTTTTACCATTGCTAAAGTTGGGTTATTAAAGTACAAATATAACTGACTGAAATTAACTCTTTAGTGGCACATATTTCTGCTCATAGGGGAACTCATTTTCTGCTGATACAATTTAAGAGTTACTGAATTCAATTAGTCATTATTATTGTCATTATACAAGTACAATGAAACTTAAAGAGCTGCCCTGAGGTGCACCAGCAACATACACTATAAGACATTCAAGACATATATTATAAGACTTTGTACAACCCTATAAAACACAATTCAAAAACAATTGCCATAGCAGAGTGGTAGTTGGGTATTGCACAGTGAGGTGGTTATTAATGCCTGAGGTAGATTTTATATACATAGAAGTGACACAAGTTGAGTATGGTGACAGCTTTGGGGAAAAATCTGTTCCTGAGTCTATTCGTTCTGGACCGTATGGACCTCAAAATATTCATACCCTTCCATTAAAGAAAAGGCAAAATTCACAATAGTCACTATATATGTACAGTACAGACCAAAAGTTTGGACACACCTTCTCATTCAATGAGTTTCCTTTCTTTTCATGACTATTGACATTGTAGATTCACACTGAAGGCATCAAAACTATGAAACAACACATGTGGAAATATGTACTTAACAAAAAAGTGTGAAACAACTGAAAATATGTCTTATATTCTAGGTTCTTCAAAGTAGCCACCTTTTGCTGTGATTACTGCTTCGCACACACTCTGCATTCTCTTGATGAGCTTCAAGAGGTAGTCACCTGAAATGGTTTTCACTTCACAGGTGTGCCCTGTCAGGTGTAGTAAGTGGGATTTCTTGCCTTATAAATGGGGTTGGGACCATCAATTGTGTTGTGCAGAAGTCAGGTGGATAGTCCTACTGAATAGACTGTTAGAATTTGTATTATGGCAAGAAAAATGTAGCTAAGTAAAGAAAAATGAATGGCCATCATTACTTTAAGAAATGAAGGTCAGTCAGTCTGAAAAATTGGGAAAACTTTGAAAGTGTCCCCAAGTGCAGACGCAAAAACCATCAAGCACTACAAAGAAACTGGCTCACATGAGGACCGCCCCAGGAAAGGAAGACCAAGAGTCACCTCTGCTGCGGAGGATAAGTTCATCCGAGTCACCAGCCTCAGAAATCGCAGGTTAACAGCAGCTCAGATTAGAGACCATGTCAATGCCACACAGAGTTCTAGCAGCAGACACATCTCTAGAACAACTGTTAAGAGGAGACTGTGTGAATCAGGCCTTCATGGTAGAACAGCTGCTAGGAAACCACCGCTAAGGACAGGCAACAAGCAGAAGAGACTTGTTTGGGCTAAAGAAGACAAGGAATGGACATTAGACCAGTGGAAATCTGTGCTTTGGTGATGAGTCCAAATTTGAGATCTTTGGTTCCAACCACTGTGTCTTTGTGTGACGCAGAAAAGGTGAACGGATGGACTCTCCATGCCTGGTTCTCACCGTGAAGCATGGAGGAGGAGGTGTGATGGTGTGGGGGTGCTTTGCTGGTGACACTGTTGGGGATTTATTCAAAATTGAAGGCATACTGAACCAGCATGGCTAACACAGCATCTTGCAGCAGCATGCTATTCCATCCGGTTTGCGTTTAGTTGGACCATCATTTATTTTTCAACAAGACAATGACCCCAAACACACCTCCAGGCTGTGTAAGGGCTATTTGACCAAGAAGGAGAGTGATGGGGTGCTGTGCCAGATGACCTGGCCTCCACAGTCACCGGACTTGAACCCAATCGAGATGGTTTGGGGTGAGCTGGACTGCAGAGGGAAGGCAAAAGGGCCAACAAGTGCTACGCATCTCTGGGAACTCCTTCAAGACTGTTGGAAGACCATTTCAGGTGACTACCTCTTGAAGCTCATCAAGAGAATGCCAAGAGTGTGCGAAGCAGTAATCACAGCAAAAGGTGGCTACTTTGAAGTACCTACAATATAAGACATATTTTCAGTTGTTTCACACTTTTTTGTTAAGTATATAACTCCACGGGGCTGCAGGGTGGCGCAGTTGGTAGCACTGTTGCCTCGCAGCAAGAAGGTTGCCGATTCGCGTCCCGGTGGGACTGCGTGGAGTTTGCATGTTCTCCCCATGCAGCGTGGGTTCTCTCCGGGTTCTCC